ATAATCATAATCAATAGTCAATAGATATTATCTATGGAAGTATATGTGAGTAAATGTAGTTATATAATTAAATTAAGTTCATAGGAATAATTATAATAATAATTATTCTGCAATTAGCTATCCCACCCGATTATATTTATTTACTCAAACCTATGACTTTGTTTATACTTTGTGTTATTTATAACAATACTTAAATAAATGTAAGTAAAATCAGATTAATACTGAGTCATATCCCTATACTAAACGAGTAAACCTTAGCTAATTATATATAAATAAGTACTTGCATGTGTGGAATCTCAATATTCTTAGGTAACGTTATGTAATAATTTTAAATTGATATAATATTACTTGTGAGCGCTCTATATAGTGTGATACACAATCTTAGAAAAACTTAAAGTAATATATTATATAAATCATACTATCAAATAATATATCTATCACTATAAGGATATTTTATACTACAGTATAAGGTATTGTAGAGGAGTCTATAATACTAAGAGAGGTGATACGCTAATCTAATATCAAGGATATTAGGGTCACTAGTACGTCTGGGTGGATATAATGAGTATAGTGGATAGTTATACCTTATATATATATGAACATCGATAATATAGTAAATATAGATATAGATTATAGTGTGGAGTACATCAGTAGCTTATATAGTATCAGGTATAGTAGTGTACGTGCGATAATAATAATGATTTAGAATAAGATATAGAATTAGAGAGTATGTTGGAACTGATGTAGGATATACGGCTGAGGGAATCGAAAAGCATAAGGATAGCAGAGCAGACACGATCAGACAGCGTCCAGTGAGCAGATTAGACGGACAGTGACGAGTACCAGAACAGATAGATCAATACTACGCGATGTAGCATAATAGATCAGCAGAACTAGATAACATGGAGAAAGATAGACTAGATAGAATATATATATATATATAACAGACCAGCAACTAAGATACATCAATCTATCATTGCACAACTAAAGCCACATTACCCCCACCTCACTTCTTCATAAAAGCCTATATTTGTCACCCTTACCCGAGTACATTCCCTGGTGGTCTAACACATCTGAGTGGTGGAGGAAGGAGTGGCCAAGACCTTCTCCCCCAGCCATCTCCTCTCCCCCCATAGTGTCGATATTCTCCGCCTCCTCCACCATGTCCAACCACTGACTATTGTACCAGCGGAACTTGTGGCACTGGATCCTCGTGGCCCAGTCTTCGTCGTTTTCCTGCAAAGGGAGGAGGTTAGGGGAGAGCGAGTGCCATTAGTTTATTTCTTAATCTCTTTCAGGTTCACTACTAGGCTGATAATACAATGAATAATAATAACAATAAAAAAACAATTTTAGTTTAAAAATTGTTTGTTCCTCCTCTAAAACATCAGATTAATATTTTTACCAACCCATGAACTGTACATTATGAAAAATTAATTACTGTCATTCTATGTAAAAAAGAAAAAAAAAAAAAGAAAAAAAAAAAATTTGATTGAAAGTTGCGGAAAAAACATTGCATCATTTAAAGTAAAATATACAGAATTCTTGCAAGAAATTATAAATAAAATTTTGACCTTCCAGCAGCAAATATAGTTATGCTAAACAAAACTCAACAAGAAACCTCAATCAACAGATGGCTCTTAGTGAAAAGGTCAAAAACATAAAGCTTTCTCTCACAGCTATTATATCCAGCGTTGTGTCGCACACCCTTCGGATTTCTGTGTTCTTGTCGTGCATAAGGTCGATTAGGTAAGCTGGAACCTCAGTTGTGGATATGACTTGTGGCCGTGTACTCTCATGGCGCGTTAGTTGGTAAAAAACATATACTATCTGGAGTACAACTTCATCATCCTCTTGTTTAGCTGTGTTGGATGAAATGTTTAGTTCATGAGAATTTTTTCTATATCAAATGAATTCTATCTATGCAGACGAATGAAAAAATGCTGACCAGTTATTCAAATATTGATGTATTTTGGCCACTGTTATCAATACAACTTTTTGTACAGTTCTAGAAGAATCAAGTAACAAACAAAAAGAAATACAGAGTATAACCCAAACATTAACAAATTCCAACACAGTATTACCCCCAACACCATCTATCACAATAACCATTATCAATCAAATTCTTAAACCCCAGCAAAGAGAACGACGTATATCTCCAAGAACACATGTCCCTCTTCAACTCACCATTAAGCAGGTTGACGAGTGCCTGGAGTATGCCTGTCTCCACTATGAGCTCTGCAGCAGCCTGGTCCCCAGCCACAGTTCCCAGGAGAACCACCACCTCTAGGGCAAGGTCATCCTCTACGGCATCTGTCAGGAAGCAGATTTTTATAACAGTAAGACAAGAGAGGGAGAGAGGATGGTAGAGGAAAGGAGATAAAAGGATGGGAGAGGAAAGAAGTGAAAGTGAGAAGAGAGAAGAGAGGACAGGAGAGAAGAGGAGAGATTGAAAATAAGTAAATTCAACAAACAGTGAAAGAAAATAAGGGTTCCATAAATAATGCAATCAACACCACATTCTGAAAGCAACATTTTTGCTCACAACACACTCAAAAACAAGATCAAAGGCCTCTTTACCAGGTTGGAGACTATTTTTAATCCAATCAATCAGCTGGTATTTGGTAAGAAGCTGGCAATAGTCCAGATCTGGCAGAGAGAGGTTACCCAAAACGCCCACACACTCGAGGGTAAACTCATCGCTTCCCCCACTACTCACAACTTCACAGAGCTCACTGACAAAGTCCTGAAATCAAGAAGAAAAGTTCTCAATCAAATCTTAAACAGTTGTAAGATAATTTCCTTTGATGACTGAAATTCTTTGAATGTGCATACCTTCACACTGTGTATCTATCAAAATACACACTCAAAACATTCTTTAAGAATGACTGAACAAATAGTAATACAATTCATCATCATCCTCTTTTTTCTTATTATTGCTCTCCTCCCTACCATAAAGAGCTCCCTGGTAGGTCCTTCATGTTGGGCAATGTTGCGAATCATCTTAGTGAGCAGTGGGTCACGGTACTTTAGGGCCCTCTTCATGAGCAGCTTCAGCCCGGCCCCTTCACAGATGAGCTGTGCATTCCGTTTGTTGGCTGCCAGGTTAACAGCCAGGGCCATCAGCTCCAGTGGGACTTGAGGGCCTGGGGAACTCAGCACCAATTTCATCACCTTTACAGAGCAGAAGAGAGAAGGAAATTTCATGAAGCAAAAATCTTAATTCAGAAATGGACTCGATATAATACCTGAAAAATTGCTGGGTATGAAATGTCATGATTTTACTTCACAACAAATAGAGAAAAAACATATATACCTTTTGAAATCTAAAGATAATAAATATGTAAACTTATCACAAAATGAATGAAAACCAATAGACAAATTAGATGAGTTCCTTACTGTCGGAATGCAGTCAGTGTATGTAAACATGGACTTGCACTTGTCGTCAACGCTTAGATGATAAAGAACCGCCAATACTGCTTGTTGGTGTCTTTCCTCGCCTGATCAATAGAAAATTGAAAGAACTCGCTAGGAGAATGATTTCTTTGAGAGGCAACACTGATAAAAAATGAAATGGCAGAATCATCTTTTTTCTTTTAGTATATGTCCATGAATTTATTGCATACTAAATTACCTTGTCCACAACCTATCATAAAACAAGCAAATATTTAATCAAACCAATCAAACACACACACACACACACACACACACACACACACACACACACACACACACACACACACACACACACACACACACACACACCACACACACACACACACACACACACACACACACACACACACACACACACACACACACACACACACACACACACACACACACACTCACACACACTCACCACTCACTCACACACACACTACTTTCACACACTCACTCACTCACTCACTCACACACACACACACACACACACACACACACACACACACACACACACACACACACACTCACACACACACTCACTCACTCACTCACTCACTTACACACACTCACACACTCACACACACTCTCACTCACTCACTCACTCACTCACTCACTCACTCACTTCACTCACTCTCCACTCACACACTCTCACTCACACACTCTCACTCACACACTCTCACTCACACACTCTCACTCACTCACACACTCTCACTCACTCACACACTCTCACTCACTCACACACTCTCACTCACTCACTCACACACTCTCACTCACTCACACACTCTCACACACACTCTCACTCACTCACACACACTCTTCACTCACACTCACATTTTTTCACACTCACACACTTAAAATCACTTATTTCTCAGTACAAATCCAACCAGTTTGCCCTAAATGTATAATTCTTAACTTGACCCACCTATGAGGGACACAAGCTTGGGAAGAAGACCAACTTTGATCATCTTGGTCCTGAGGTTGGCATCAAATGAAAGGTTAAGGAGGAGTCGCACGGTGACATTGAGGAGGTCACTGTTGTCAGTGCCAATCAGGCGACTCACTTTTTCTACGATATTTAAGTCACCCTGAAATAAAATTATAATGATGTTTCAATAATATAATTATAAATAAAATTCACTTAACAGAATCATATTGTGTGAATAATAGCTACAACAGAGTCAAGCTTCTTAAGCAGGAAGTACTAGGAAACCCACATTTACTGTCTCCCAACTTCAAGTAAGTCACCATAATTGGTGACATTCTCCTAGACTTTCTCTCTTTGACCATAAATAAACAATACCAAAATCATGGGTAGTTGCACCAAGAGGAACCCTGCATAACCTATCTCCCACAAGTCTGTATCAGTGCATGTCACAAGTAACAGCCACTTTCTCACTTTTTTGCAGAAAAACTGTTGACACTGGG